TATATATATATATATATATATATATATATATATATATATATATACAAAACATTAGTAACTCGGCATGCATATAAATCTCCGCTATGAAACGTAGATAGAATCCCTCCACTTCTATCAGGTCAATATCGTTAGTTGTTAATATTTAAAGCTGTGATATTGACATCATATCGAAAATAAAAAGTTGTATCGGGGCAACCTTGCTGTAGGAACCTGTAGGACTAACGGGGAAAGTCTAAGATGCAGACCGGAAAGTAATCATCTAAACAGACATTTGGAATGTAAACTGTTTGGTGATGGAATAATAAACCCACCTAGATACATATGCAGCAACAGTGCTGCCATTCCTGAGTCCCCCCCAATATTATAAAAATACATGTAATCAACAGTAACTGGCAGCTGCTTTCTTTGTTAAATCCAGAAACCAGGAATGCATTTAGTTTGTGATTTTGATTTGTTCATTAAACATTAATAAGAAATAAATTTATTTTGTGTTTTTGTAAAATTTCAATTACACTTAAATAGAAATGATGTTTTTATGAATGCTTTTTAAAATAACCCTTCTAGTACTGTTCAGTTGAACAGATGAAAGTGAGCGTCGTGTCCCTGGCTTACAGAAACCAACCTTGGCTTTGTCAAGCTGTGCCTGAGCCTGTCTCTCTGCCTCTCTGCGCGCTGCCTCCTTATCCTCCTCAAGGGAAACATCGGAGTCTGATGGACGGCTGGTGTAAGAGTCGGCCGAACCCTGTGGAGAAACAAAAAGCAGCACCTCAGTAAAAAAAAAAACTCAACTAGAAATTGATCTCACGTCTGGAAAAAAGCACAAGTATTTAGAGGATTTAAAAACAAAAACTTTTGGGCTTTAGGTGTTAAATGATACATTCATTTTTGTTTTTTTTATTCAATATTCGATACAAAGGCTGTGTGCAATGACTTTTATCATAAATTATTCATCGATTGATTGAAAGTCTTTCAGAAAACCAGATCATAGCAATGTGTAGATGTGACTCATGCGTTCCCACAAACCAACAAAGGTAAGTTCAGCAAATGCCCCACTCTAAATACCCACTTTACAAGTTAATTGATTTTAGTAAATCATTTTATTTAGACTCATTTTATTGTGATTAGATGTTTTTCAAAGCCTTTAGTTTAGTAAATCGGGATGTTTTTACTTATAGCCAAGAAAAAATATGATTTTTAAGCTCAGTATACTACAGTAGACCAATGAAAACATTCAATAAAATGATGTTTTCTTAATTAAAAGTATGATTTATACCTGCTTACAGATTGTTATAATCAAGGGTTCTTTTTTTTATCACAAATGAGGAAAGTTATATTTATTGAACATAAACTAGAATAGGAATTGGATATCAAAAACACCCACATAACACTAAGAACGTTATTCTATGGCTGTTTGAGTATTTTATCCTAAAATTTCAAGAATAAATGAAAAAATTATTAAAAGAATCAAGTCAAGAAGAATTAAAAATATTTATCTTCCTGCAGGCTAAAGAGTGAGTATTGCAAGTTTTCAAGCAACATAATCAGCCTCTACTAAACTATTTCTATACATTTATGATGACTATTTTAACTCTTGTTATAAGAACAGAAACAAACATGCTTTGGAGAATCATTGTGGGATTTATTTTGATTTTAGAAAATCAATTTAAATACTACCTATATTGTTTTAAGACCCACATTGGAAGCTATGAATCCCTGAAACAACCTCCTTTAGTTTCAGAATAGTAAGAGTAATACATTGAAATAAGGCTAGGATGGATAGGGCACATCTCTCAAATTTAAGGAAGCCGTGAAAGACAAGTTAGGAAAAAATAAATAGGTGAAAATATTTCCTCTTTTTGTTGTTTTGCCCTGAAAGGCAACTGAGAAAAGGACATTTTTTATCTTTGTTTGTGTAATACTTTGTTTCACCACTAGGGGCACAGACCTTTACTGAACATATACAGCCAAATCCCTGTAATTACAAAACCCTGTGGGTCTTAGCCAGGGTTGATTTCTGATTGAATAGGGAGGCTAACCCTACCCTGTAAATTTCGTAAAATAATTGGTCAAATGTTTAAACTTAATCTACAATTAATACTGTATGTTCTAAAATGTGCTTGATTTTATGAATTTTTTGCAAATTAATCAGCTTTTGGGCGCATTATCCGACACGATATCCCCTCCACTCTGGAGCAGCAGGACGCTGCAGTCAGCCTCTATGAGAAAACCCTGTTGAGATTTGAGCTTCCTTCTATTGAGGTTAGCAAGGAGAAAGTAGAGCCCTGATTGGATAACACTCAAAAATTAGACACTTCAAATCAGGGCTGGGCAATTAATTGCATTAGCAATATAATCGCAATTTAAAACCCCCCACAATTTTAAAAGATTTTTAATCACTCTATATTTAATAAGACACTAAATCTCTCCTTCCAGCCCTTTAGATGGTGGTAAAATGCATGAAGTGGGTTTGTTGCCACACAGAAAGGTAGAGAGAGTTTCAGCTAGCACACAGATCCATGCATGCAAGTAGAATTAAGCACTTTTTTTTTTACAAAATTATTACAGTAAAGTCCTGTAAAAATTAACTCTGGCCAAGCAAGCTTTCAAAAACTGAAAACCTGGGGTGAAACATCTATAAGCTTAAGGTTAGTGCAAAGGAAAAAAATGTAAATAAAATTGCAATCACAATTTTGGTTAGAAATAATCTAAATTTTTCATCTATACTTCTAATGAAGCTAAACCCCTTATGAGGTCAATGGAGCAGGGGCAGGTTGTGAAACTGGCTGCTCGATGCTGATTGTCAAACAAATTTCAGGATTTTTGATGCACAGTAACCAGAGAGCGAGGAGGTTTTCCTCATGGGACTCATTTCATTTGGAAAAAACAATCATCTTGTTTTGCACTCTGTGGTTTCTGGAGCTTATTTAAGATCACTTCAGCTTCAACAGCTATTTTTTTGGTGTTGTAGTAACGTGTTTAATCATCTGGTAATGCATTACATTACATTTGAATTTTATTACCACCATTCAGTTAAGACCAGCAGCAGCCACCACTGGTCTTAAACCTTTTAACCTTAAATCTTACAGGTGCAGAAAAAAAAAAATTACTTTCGTTTTATGGCAGGAAGAAAAAAACAAAGATGGCATCTATACAATTATCTTTGGAAAATAACTTTTAATCAAGCATTAAACTAATTCTGAATGTTTTGTATTGCTCCGATTAGCATTGCTATTATGAATTATGTTTTTTTTTTTATATATATGCAAGTAGAAAATCAATATATATAGAAAATAAAGGCTTGGAAACCTTATTCTGGGTGTTAGGCTATACAATGTATTTTACTTACTGTAAAAGTTATAGAAATAAAAGAAATTCTCATCAATATTTATTGACAGGCTCTTTCATAAATCTTGTTCTCTTTTTCACAGATTCATAAAACAACTTCAATTGTTCTTTCGATCTTAATGAGCAGTTATGGATTCATCACCAATAGACATATTTCTTTTGCCCACTGATGACTTTTTTCGATGAGTATGACTGAATCCTGAGTTCAATATCAAAGTAATTTTTTCTTAAAATAAGTGCATCTTTTCTTGAATTGAGGAGGTAAAAGAGACATTTTGCCAATGGAACAAGACAATTTACATTTAAAAGAAGAAAAACCAATTGCATTGTCTTATTTCAAGTGCATTTTATCTAAATATCTTATTTTAAGAGTAAAAATCCTAATTCCAGTGGCAAATTATGTCATTTACCTAATCAAACTAAGGGTAAATACAATTAATTTAAAAAATGTTGACTTATTTCTAGAGAATTTTTCCTGTGAACTGACTGTAGTCCTCCTAGGCAGGTATCTTTTCATTACTTTTATCATTAAATGAGCACGGCACCTGTACACAGAGTGGAAGGAAAATGTTTCAGTGGGAGAATATTAGGGGCAGGTCTTAAAGTTCAAACTAAACTATTCTCCTTGTTGGTTCAAACATGTGCAGAATCAGGAACAGCGCCTTTAACTAAATTAATGAAACAATCAAATATTAGGATGAAATACTTTTTTGACAACAAGATGGGTATCCAGTGTTTTTACATTTCAATGTACCAACTTGAACAACTTAGAATTGCATCTACTAAGCCTCATTTGGGTTGTGCATTTTAATTGTAATCACCTAAAAATACAGAACCAGTTCACTGTGATAACAATAAAACAAATATATTGTTGTTAAAACTTTAATGTTGTGGGTCAAACTTAAATGTAAAATTAAAAAGTGAGACAATAACTTAATACATAATCCCATTTTAGATTTACAAAGAAGACATATGAAAATCCAAACCTAAGACTATTTAGTTAAATAGCTTTTAAAGCTTTTTTTTAACAATAAGGTAAATATAGAAGTGTCCCTAGACAAAGGATCATCATATTTCCAAGCTTATCGTAGTTTCTAGACCTGAATCTACCAAAAAAAACAATAAAATGATCTGAAGATAAAAGATTACATGATAGGAAAACGTTATTGTATGCTCCAACCTTATCAAAGGTTTTTGGAGAACACTAATCAGAGTTCTGTTGGCAAATCTGGTTCTATAAGAAAATAAAAGCTGCAGTGTTGACTTTGTGTTAAAAAAAAAAAAAACACACAGCAAAAAACATTTTTTCTTGATTTAATACATTTACCCCATCAAAGGTTGCATTTTCATCAGAGAGGTTATGAGACTACAATAAAAACTGAATTTATATTAAGGTTTTATGTAAACACCTTACTATAGTTGGACATTTCCCATTAACATGAAAAATACTTCAATGTGTAAATGAGGGAGGCCCCTTCCTTTTTCTAAGACAATCATCAAGGGTTGCGGATAAAAGCAGCTCTTCTTTCATCCAGTGGAGTCGGTGCAGGTTTGATCCTTACCTGCACACTCCTGTGGCAGCCACTCACACAAGGTCTTTCATTCATCTCACTGCACCATTACACGCTGCTGTCTGAGTTAAAAATAGCCTCCCTCAATCTGTGCATGATGAGAATAACCAAACCAAGATCGTACCACTTCATCCTCTTCACCCACACTAACTGACTGATGTAACAGAAGCAACTCAAAGGGCTGTTTTTCTTAACAGAGCAAGGTAGGTGACATGTACGCCCTCCATCTAACACAACGCCCCGCTGCTTATCAATCATCTAAATGTCTTTTATACAATAATAAATAAATATATTTACCAGCTTGTTAGTGATCCACTTCTTTCTATTGACTTTTAATTCAATACCTGCTCAAGGTTACTATGCAGCACTGATATTAGGTAATAGGTGAAGAAAATGTCTATTTACTGCTAATTACTTATATTTGGTGCTGAAAAAAGCAGGTGAGCACACCTGGGCTTCCGTGTATAGACCTAAAAATACGAGACGTGATCATGAACAGTCATTTCAGTGGGTCAGATAAAGGTGATCTGGAGTTCTGCCCAGAATCCGACGGTCATAACTGATACCCACACTCAACTTCCCATCATCACCATACTGTCACACTGACCCACAGCACAATGTAAGATAGCCCTGATAAAATGTTAACGTAAGATAAAGCACATATCTGATGCATTATACATAAATGCATGCACAGGAGCAACTTTTATATACAAATTAGATTTAGAGGGTAAAAAATTCCTCCTTACACAGGCATCGGAGCTCTTGACTCGACCTCCCTTGGCTCGTTTCAGCAAGCGGATCCAGGTGGCCTTCATGAGCCACACTGGTCATTCAGTGTCCTGAGCCACTGCCCCCCCCTGCTGCTACTACAACTAAACCAAACTGCACTGCTGAGGTCTCCTTTGCACCAGCTTTGCTGCAGCTGTCACTGCTTTGGCTACAGGTACATTCAACACTGTGGCTCCATCGGCAGCTGGTTCCTCTTACACCGTGGCTGTGAATGCTGCTTTCAATCCTGGATAAATAAATAGATTTGGAGTCGGCGCTCCTTGTTCTGCTGCAGCTCCAGTTGGCTCTGCTGTTGTCTGGAGAGCCAACGCTCCAACTACCCCCGCTGCCGCTGCTGTTGCCAAAGATGGGGAATCCACTGGAGCTCACTGCCCCGTGCATAATCTCAGCAGCTCTCTCCCCCTCTTGCTCCTCGGTGAAGGGAGTGCTCGGTGTGCCGCTGCAGGTGCTGATGCTGACTCCCAGAGTGAGTCAGGTGGGAGAGATGCCCCTCATCTCCTCTATCATGCTTTCACTTCTGCTTCACTGTAATGCTGCGTTGCTGGCTTCTCATACGACTGTGCAGGCGATGTGTGACGGTTCATTTGGGAGAGTCCCGGTGTGGCTGCATGCAACCGACTCTCCTGCTGATGAGAATGAAGCTGCTGCTGCAAGCTCTCCCTTTCTCATGCTGTGTCTCGGCTCGTCAGTGTGTCTCTTCCTGGCTGCTTCCTTCAAGCTCCTTTGTGCTATTTCAGCAATTCTGATTTCTCTGTCTCAACCCTGCTCCTCCATCAGTCCTTTCCTTTTTTCCTCTCAACATCTCAACCCATCTGCTCTTCGTGACTGCAGCAGTCATTTCTCTAAACTGCATGTTCAGGATGAATGGTGGCAGTCATCAATAGTGCATACACTTTTGGTTTCTGAAACCCTGCCACACAGAGTACACAATCTGCTACTGATATATAGGTAGGCTTGCCAAAGTACACCGACCCTTTGACTTTATCACATTAAACCATCAAACATGATAGACTAACACATAGCACTGCATGATGTCAAAAAAGCGTCCATGCACTTAAAATCATTACTGTTTGTGCACTGTTTGTATATATTTATTTAATTGTTGCAAGATTAACTTCTTGCTTGGTAATACCCACTAAAATGTTGTCCTTCAGGATTACCCGGCTTTTAACTCCACCCATCTATTAATAGTTTCAGATCAGCTTTCTAATTGGGGATGAAAAGCATCTCCACGTCATTACCCACCACTACCATGTTTTATTGTTCAGGTCGATAAATGTTTATTCTCTTTCAAATGGAGCATTTTCACCTGTAGGCAAAAGCATTTTGTTTTTGTCTCCTATGACCTAAGCACTTTTTTAATATCTTCTATGTCACCTCTGATTTTTCAAAAACTAGGCTCTATGTCTTGAGGCTTTCTCTCAGCAAATTTTTAACTCTTTCTTGACGGCCAGATCTTTCCAATGCCCAAATAAATGTTGTCACGACAACCTTTACTCCCACTTGAGCTGTGGTTTCCTGAGGCTGATCCAGAGGTACCAGAGACTTCTAGCCTTCTTGTCTGATTAATTTCTAGCCTGACAGTTTAGATTGATGACCATGACTTGATAGGGTTAAAGTTCTTTTTTTAGATGATGGATTAACCTCTGCTTCATGAGATCTTCAAAGCCTTATATATTTTACAACCTGACTCTGCTTTAGATTTCTGTAAGACCATCTCTTTGACATTTTAGCTTGATTTGCCTTCAGGACACTCCTTGTTTTCTAAAAACGAGACAGTGGGTAGCACTGCTGCCTTAGAGCAAGAAGGTTCCTGGTTCGATCCCCAGCCCGGGGTCTTTCTGCATGGTGTTTGCATGTTCTCCCTGAGCATGCGTAGGTTCTCTCCAGGTACTCTGGCTTCCTCCTACAGTCCGAAAACATGACTGCTAGGTTAATTGGCTTCCCTAAATTCTCCTGCTATAGACTGGCGACCTGTCCAGGGTGCACCCCGCCTCTCGCCCTAGACAGCTGGAGATAGACCCCAGCATCCCTCGTGACCCTTCTTGGGATAAGGGTGATGGAAAATGGAATGGATGGATAAAATTCTACATTTTGTTGATCAATCACATTATATCATTTAATATTTGAAAGTATGTAGGTGCGATGTAACAATTCCTGAAAAATCCTACAGGGTAAACTTAACTCCTCCTGTCCAGTAAGTGGCACGCTCGCTCTCATCCCGTACTGTTTGTCATTGGGTTGTTAGCTCCACTATTGCTAATAATTCATTACAGTAAAATTAATATTTTTACTCTTCACCACTCTGGACATTTTGTGGAAGCATTACTTAAGAAAAATCATTTTTCTTAGATGAAAAACTCATAACTATGATCTTAAATTAGAGTTTATAACCTTTAATCAAACAAAACTGCAACTTCTATTTGAACCAGCACACTTTTTATAACTTAAGACATGCAAAACATCTTCTGATTTTGACAGTTACAAGTTTGTATCAATACAAATTATAGCATTTAAGCTTTACTCTGTTGTTGTAGAACCAGAGAGAGATGGTAAATCCTGACATTTGACAGGAGAGAGGCTGCAAATGTTTCACATATTTGTGTAAATTAAGACTAAATTGAGTTATTAGATGACTGGCTGCAGGTCATTTAATTACACCACTTTCTGTTTTGTTGCTCTATTCCACAAGAGACCTTTCACATAATTTAAAGCAGTGACTAGAACAGAAGAACGAGTGACTTCTGTAAGTTATTTTTGTATGCATAGGTAGGTATATGTTTACACACCTTTATGAAGGGTTAGTGGCCTAATACTGCAAAAATGTGTAAACCTTAGACTATAAAAGTAAAAACTGAACATCAAATGAAAAAAAAACAATCAATTTTATATCTATATAAAGATAGAAATGCATCTGCCATTACTGCCACTGCTGCCAAGTTAACATTCCAATATATACTGCATGTTGTTAAATAATTGCAGTACAGATTTATAGACTTTGAGAGCTATTACAATTTCTTCTCGGTATATTTTTCAGCGATTTAAAAAAAAAGAGTTGACACATCAAATGATAATATTAAAAAATATATATATCTAAAGAAGTCTGTTTTTGAGTGCAGAAAGATTGTCCAAAAAAGTTGATAAGATACTTGGAGTTCCAGTCTTGTTGCTAATCATTGTTGGCCAGAAGGAACAGTAACAATGCTTCTTTTTAAGTCTAGGTGTCTACTGAGAGATATTTACACATAGCATGTCCTCATATTAATAAGTCCAATGCTGAATAATGTGATTATAGCCTCCTACCACCAATTGGTCTAATGAGGAAGGAAGTTACAGAAAATAAATCAGCATTTGACAAAAGATGAATTACAATGGAGGGAGAAATATTATATATTTTTAATTAAAAAAAAAAAAAAAAATTATAGTGATAATTAGGCTACTGATTAAAATATACTTTAGGGCGAGGTGTTGTTACAGGAATAGGGTTGTACTAATGAACGGAGGTCCTATTCCTTAAAGCAGCTGTCATGATTGTGAATCCCAGCCCATTTATCTTCACCTCCCCCTCTTAACCCCATTTCCTGTCATCTCACTTTCAAATAAAAGCCACTTGTGCCAAAAAAAAAGATATCTGTGAGAAATTTTGTGAGAACTTAGGGCAGACCACAGATGATACGACCCAGAAAGCCGTCTGTGAAGGCTGCACTCTGCTGGCAACTACTGACAACAACCGGCAGCGACAGAAAGGACCCAGAGGCAGCTTGACACTACGCCTCCTGTCTCAACGCTGTGCTGAACCCTACAGCACAGCACCACTCCCACAGAATCCACTAATGATGATCTGACAGTGGTATGATGACATTTGGCTCAACCAGCACACCAACAATCAAAGCTTTGTTCAAAGCAGCTGGTATCATAAGCCATCCACAACATTTTTTCTCTGCTAAGGGCTCTTGCTGCTAACAAGATTTTTTTAAACGTTATAAAAACCCTGGAAAAAAAAGTATCTCAGTCTGTGTATTTGAAAAATAAACATTGACTTGAAAAGATAAAAAAAAAAAGGGTGGAAAAATCTCTGCTTCCAGGAAGTTGTCAGGGAATCATGGGACATTTCATATAACTCTATAATCAGGTTTATATTGGTTATTTTGGGTCGAATTTAACTGAATGCTTTTAGATAATATGCCATGAAATTTTCAGTCAAACTAATTATCTTATCATCTGCTAAAATGTTAGATTTTTGGCTTGTTCAGAAACCAGAATCAGCAAAACAGAGCTTTTGTTTATCTGCTTATCTGCACAAAAATATTTTCTTGTAAAGGTATATTCAATTAATACTTGAGAAAACATTAACATTTCAGCAAGAAAAAAGAAACAGCAGTAAGAGCAGCAGTAATTGACACTTCTTGATGCTGATTTTGCCCTTTGAATACACCATAATTATGCTTTTTAAAAATTTATTTCTCCTTAAATGTTTAAAATTCAAGAAGGAACTGCTTGCCACGAGGTCACCGGCCAAGTGTGAAATGATTTCCAACTTGGTGCCATTTTACACTGACTTTAAAAACTTTCAGAGCTGTAGTGATTTTCTGTAATATGACCTGAGTCAGGTGTGAGAGAACATGTTTGATGTGACTCTAAAGAACACTAACCAAGGGGGAAGCCACTAATTGGTTTTTGTTTGATCAGAGGCAATAATTGTTGCAATAACATATTATTGCAATAATATGTAATGCAGTTTCAACCACTTGAAACTGCATTACATAACATCATAAGATTGTGTAAGCCTTTAAGTTATGTCCATTTAAAAGTACAAACCTAGACATATGTAATAGGTGAGCAACACAAATCAAGCTCATGGCAGCCGAGAAAGTAGCTGAATGTGTGATGATGTTACATAACATATATAACAGAATCGCCATCCAACACCAAAAGGCTAACAAAGGCTCCAGCTGGATTAGAGGTTCATAAAGCTATCATGTATTTGGCAATTTACCCAATGAAAATAACAAAAGTCAAGGCAGGGGCATTCGGGAGACTAAGATTCTTTGACATATAATAGTTTTCCAACCTATTTTCATCTTTCCAACAAACAAAGATGGACAATATATTTGTGCAGGTGATGTTTGGAATTTGTAGAAGTAATGATAACATGCATGTAAGCACTGCTTTCCCAGTTCATAACACAAATGTCCAAAAATGGAGAAACTATTTGCACATATATAAATAATTAGCCGCCTATTTGGAAACACTATGGCTTTAAATGAGATGACAGAGGAAAACACAGGATGTTGTTAGTCCATGCAAAGGACTTAAACTTTCATGATCATGTATGTGTTCACCAGGCAATTCTATCAGCATGTGCTGCAGCTCAATCAACAAGCTCTGAAAAGTATTTTCACCTGCAGGAAATTCAAAGTGCTTTCATGAAAACTGTTAAATATAAGAAGGAAAACCCAGAGCGGTGCATATCAGTTGCATCTGCAAATTTCTTGAAGGAGCTGCTGAAAAATTTCGACAACAAAAATGTGCGTCCTAGACAAAGAAAAAAAAAACTAAACATATTTATATATATGAGGACATGTGACAAAAACATGTAATCGAGACTCTGTTGCTTTCTAGCTGCGACCAGCATTGCTTGCTTACAAGCGCATGCTAACTAACAATCCTGCTGAAAAGAAATCACATATCCATCTGATTTGTTCTCCTTAGAGGACAATCCATTCCACGAATTGAGGAGATTTCCAATTTTCAACCATAAATAGAAAAAAAAAACATCCAGTTTTAA